ACCTGCTTGCTGACTCGCCCCCCTCCCAGCGTATCTCGGCCGAATGCCGACGTGGTCCCGCCAGAGGCGGTGAAGCTCGCCCTAGAACGGACACATTATTTGACCATTACTGCTCTTTAAGTTGCTGTCACGTAAAAAGTTGGTATTGCATATAAATAAAGAAATATCACCCCCGTAATCCATGACAAGGCGAAGTCGCATTGAAATCACATTGCGTTCAGACGCAAATCGCGATGCGGGGAAACCGATTCGAAACCACCTCTAGAAGTGGCTTGGGATCGAGGCGCTTTCAATGTGATTTCGGAGCGTTCAGATGGAGCCACTTGAAACCGGCTTCGGGGTAAACCACATGTAAACCGCCTTGGGTGATTCCGTTTAGACACGGCCTGAGAGTACGTTTCACATAAAAATCACATAGGCATCGGCGGAAAAAGAACATACAGGCAGTCACATAGTTTCACATAATGGGAGGAGACCCAACATCACATTGAGATAACATCTTTTCACATTTGAAAATGTAATTTTTCTTGACCGTTCACTGCGAATGTAGAAAAAATGTGACGCAAAATAATAACATTTTTCGCATAAAGGCGTCGCGCTTCAGAAATGTTATTTATATGTATTTTCTGTGAACTTATGTGATAAAATGTGATGCTGTTAAACCTCAAAAAAATTCACATTACATCACATTTTTTCACATTTCCTTGAAATTTTGCACGAAATTCACATAATTTTCACATTTATGCACCTGGTAGTGTAAGTAGCTAGAATCATCCTACGATACAAATAAGCAACCGTTTTGCCTTGACATCGTAATTTTGCCACGCAAATGTCAGTATGCTATGGGATCGGGTTGATTAAACTTACTACGCTGAAAGAATGACCAGGAAATTGACTTTTAAAATCGAGTCTTGCCGCCCTGAAATTGTATTGGATGCCTTTAAAATGTCAAAAATTCTGATTTCGTTGGAGCGGTCATCCATTCAAAAGAAGACATTCAACAACAATTACCACATGTAGATTTTCTACAGTTTGCCTTCATACAGTCTATGGTTGATGTGATTTACCTTAGACTTTATTGCAATTATTGTTATGTGTATCTTATCACTTGTCCTGCTGGCATTTTACATACTATTTTACATGTTTAGGTTATTTGGGTGAGAAAACTCGGAAAGGTGGTTTCCATTTATTCTGTCCCACCTGCCGTTGTACATGTTCGTGTTTCAATGGTGGATCCAAATATAATGTTAACCTTTATTGTACATTCATACCACGGCAGGCTAGGTACAGGTCAAGACTTAACAGACACATAACAAAACGTACATAGAAAAGTGAAGACAAAAGATACACTACTTGTCAATTAGTTAGTTAGACATACATAGTATTACATACATACATACATTTATAAGGAACATACAAGGGTACTATACTAAGCTAATACAAAGTGTTCTAGTTACTGAGCTAATACATGGTGGTCAACTTCTCGCTTTCTTGTACAATGGAAAATGTGGGAACAGATCATGTTTGTGATACAGGGTTTGTCTAGACGCATTAAAATATAATTTATCGTATTTTCCCCTTATTACAGCGGTTCAGTGTCCGATGCCAGAAACTCCTGCGAACGGCGCCATGACTGGCCTCAACTTCTACCAAGACGTCTTAGAGTTCACCTGCGAATCCGGCTACGATCTGATAGGTGAGGCATGGGCCACCTGCCATGCGGACCGCACCTGGAGTGCCCGGGCTCCCACCTGCACAGGTGAGCGCGTTATAGTGCTAGCCACATGTTTGTTTCAGCTTCAGTCGACATTTTTAGCCTTGTTCATGAGAAGTCACCCAAACCGCGATTCGGGTAACTCACATTCCGCACATCTGGTCCACGTGCCATACATTCCTTGCAAACCGTGTACGATCACGATTCTACGAAACTGCATTCATTGCTGTTTGATGAAAACACGCAAGGTGGCGTGTTATCAATGTCAGGGGTCAACGACCCGCTTGCTGGTGCCCCCCTCCCAGCGTATCTCGGCCGAATGCCGACGTGGTACCGCCAGAGGCGGTGAAGCTCGCCCTAGATTATTTGACCATTACTGCTCTTTAAGTTGCTGCCACGTAAAATTTGGTATTGCATATAAATAAAGAAATATCATCCCGTAATCCATGATCAGGCGAAGTCAAATTAAAATCACATTGCGTTCAGACGCAAATCGCGATGCGGGAAAACCGATTCGAAACCACTGCTAGAAGTGGCTTAGGATCGAGGCGCTTTCAATGTGAATTGGAGCGTTCAGATGTTGCCACTTGAAACCGGCTTCGGGGTAAACCACATGTAAAGCGCCTTGGGTTACTTCACATAAACACAGCCTTTGTTTCAGCTTCAGTCGACATTTTTGAAGCCCGCAGGAGAAAATTAACACATTCTTTTGTCACACGCCTGCTCAACTTAAACAACGGTCTTATAAAATTGGTAGTTCATTCGGACATATTCTCCATCAACAACTTCTGGAAACACTACGTCAACCTTGTATTCAAAACGTTCGCCCATTAAACTTCCATAACCTTGAATTTTAATCTTTCTGTATATACTTGTATTGTACTTATCTTTGTGTATCGGTATTTTTCCCCAATTTTTTGTTGTGACATGGGCCGTGTACTAGCCTGACTAATCGCGCTCCTGGCGGCCGCCGCCCTAGGTTGCCGCCCCCCAAAAGCTTGATGTCAAGCACGCGTAAAGCTGGCGGACTGTCGACGGCCCTGGTCCGCCATATATGGTTAATGAGATGCAAACGTCACGAACTGCCCTCAGACGGTGCGGCACCCAACAGAGATGGTTGCTATGGGCCTGTCGGTCGCTACCCATTGATGGACGTCGGCGCGCCTTTCATGTCCCAAAAAGTTTGGCCGAGGAAGGCGCGCACCCGCTCGCGAGTCGAATCTGTTTCTATTTTCCAAACTTTCTGGAACTTTCTCGTGGGAAATGGCGGAAGTCACACCGAGAAAAAAGAATCTCATCCACGGATTTGTATCTACCTCACGATTTTCACTCAGCTATGTCCACATTTCGCATCTCTGATTAGTTGTAGCGTCCGCTTCCGGCAGCGCCGGCGGTATCGCATATTGAAGATTGGCCGAGCTGACGCGCGTGTAAACAACTTTTCTTTGTTCGATATAAGCGCTAAAATGCTATTTTCCACATCCACACATCGATATTCTAGTGAAAAAATGCATAGTTTCAAGAATCAGTCGGGAAATTATATACTTCTATGCGGATTTTTAGCGTTTTTGACGTCATTTTGTCGTCGCTGAACCCAGAAGTGTGGACCTCTGCGTGAGTTTTCTTTTACCCACGCAGTAAATTTTTAGCGTATTTTACCTTGCGTTTTACCGATCAAAACAATAAACAAGTCCCGCTTAGAAGAACCCAGTAACATTTTAGATTCCAGCAATTAAGTATCGACAATTTGACAGGAGTCAACATCGTGGCACAAGAATCACAGTCAACCCGCCGTTTTCGTTTGCTCTGACTGTTTCTCTGTTTAACGAAAAAAATTATCGTCTTTTTCTGAAGCGGCTTCAGGGGCCAGGGACTCCCAAAGTCCACACACACCGACTCCAGAATGCACAGAAACTCGGTTTTGGGCTAGTCGCAGTCATTTTTCTGAGAAATTCCCACCCCCAGTCGATCAAATTTCTCGTCCCCACCCGGTACTCCGCCCCACTCCGGCTGCCTGGCGCCGGTAACCACGTGATGGCCCGGTCGGTTCCCACATTAATTCCTAATACTGGCTTCCTATTGGTGACTCCAGGAAAGGGAACGGGCCGCCCGACTTACAGCTATTCTGCCACAAGCTCTTGGGGTGGGGGTCATTAACCTCCAGCCGAGAGCTTGTATACACAGGCTAGGCCGTGTACATGCAATAAAAAATTAATTGAAATATATTTTTACTTCTTCGTTTTTGACCAAGTGACCTGAAATTTAGTATTGAGATAGAGTGAGAAATATCCCTAAAGTGTCTTTTTTTGTCAATTCATACAGTCTATAAGAATTGTTTTATTTGTTTTTTCAGATTTTTTTACATTTTCAACTTTTGTAGGATGGCATTAAACCCAAATAATCCGAAATTTATTAAGTTTGTTCCTGAAGCTTAGATACATACCCACAGTAATTCATTCACACAAACACACACACACACACAAACACACACACACACAAACAAGCAAACACACACACACACACAAACTCACACACACACAGAGACACACACACACAAACACACACACACACACACATACACAAACATACACAGACATAACACCAAAAACAATTTTTATTGAGTTAAAAAGCGTACATATGTGAACATATCAGTATATCGGATTCTCACAGCACACATGTACGTGAGCATGTTGTGGATACAATTGTTGACACAGATACCGTCCCACAGATATAAACGAGTGCGTGGTGAGCCCATGGATCTGCGGGAGGAACTCGGCATGTGTGAACCTGGATGGTTCCTTTGACTGCAAGTGTTTAGCGGGCTATGAGATGGGACCAGGCGGCTGTCAAGGTGCATTATTCCTTCTTTCTTTAAGTCACCATTGTTTGTTAAAGCCATTTTAGGGCATTAAAACTGGATTTACAACGTCAATAATGTACTAAGTTGGATCAGTCTTATCCCATAGCAATCTGATATCTGTGAGGCAAAAATGCTATAATGCTGACGGAAACAGTTGCTTGTTTCGTGTATCAGGCCGGTTATCGCTATTTATAATGTGTTTATCCACTCGTATGATGATTGTATACACTGCGCTTTGGCTACAAAATAAGATTATCGTTTTTGGCGACGCCTTGGTGGTGACTCCAATTGTATAGAATGTAACCCGTTTTGAATTTGCACCATTTACATGCATACGTAGTGAACATCTGTTTCACTCGGTTGTACTTGCTTCTGGTTTTATATTATTAGATATTGATGAGTGTTCCAGTAAAGTGACCTGCTCTGAGGACACCTTCTGTGTCAACGACCCAGGGACGTACCATTGTGTCTGTCGGGAGGGGTTCACAGGAGACGGCGTCACCTGTACAGGTCATTTAGTGTATTTTTCATATGTCATCTGTCTGTCATCATTTTATGAGCAATAATGAGTCCGATCCAGGCATTGCCTGAGGTTTAGAATTATTTCTATACATCATCATCATCATCATGCCTCCGGATTATAAATCCGGTGAGGTCCACTTGATAAAGTACTCCAGTATGTCCTATCCCTCATAGCGGACACTAATGCTGTCCCTACGAGACCAGTGTCTCTCTCTAACATGGACAAACGTGTAGTATAAGGCCGTCCCACTCTGCGTCTCCCAGTAGGACGCCACTGTATTAGTCTACCAGCTGGTAATCTATACAGAATACCGTAATTACCCATCCTCGGTAGTGTGCTTACCATGATAGTGAAGGTTGGAAAGCAGACCACAAGCTAAGAGCATGGTGATCTGCCAGCTTTACACCGGGTTTTAAATCCTGCCTGGCTTTAAAAGGATTGCATTATCAATTCTGAACAGTAGAATGTTAAAACTCACGGTAACTTGTACAACTATAGTACTACAAAAGATGATAACACAGGATGAAACTATTTACCTGTATAGTTTCTGGTGGAATTTGTACATTGGTGAGCATTTATGTAATACTATGTACACAAATGTATGTCCAATTACAGAGATCGTCACAACCAGCACACCTGCAAGCCTTACAACAGTACAAAGTACAACTATGACTGCTGTAACACCGACCACGGGAAAATACACCTCCCCTCCAACACCAACACCAACAACAACAACAACTACAGACAGCATCCAGAGGTCAACCTCACCAAATACTCCGTTCAAGACAACCACTGCGACTACCCAGCCGGGAGATGCCATGGGTACATTGCAGTGTTTGTTTTTTAATAGTCAAGTCAAGTTTATTGCACAACGATTGTGACGGGTACAATGTATGGCAAAGACTAGAGTTACTAGTTGGTATGAGTCTATCATAATGCTACATATATGGTCAACGGTTACTGTGTCTAACAGAGTGTTAGAAAGAACTACTGGCTAGAAAATATTTCGACTCTACATGTACGTTCAGTTCTATATTACGTTAAACTATACTTATGAAGGGTACAGTGAGCAGTTGTACCTATACATAGCATGTACTATGACTACTAAACAGAGTGTAGACTAAGTTACTTGTCTCACTTCATGCCATAGAACCATAGTTCGGATGAAATACATAGCTTTTCATCACCTGTTCATTTCTTCCTTATTCTTCGCCGGCCATTTCGTCACATTGATTTAATTTCTTTATTTCTTGGACCAAATGACCTAAAATTTCGTATCGAGGTTTTAGTTTTCAGATAGGCTTTCAAAATTGCTTTATTCTGGTTTTTGGCCAATTTTCAGACAATCAAATTTGGAACCTACAGGATAACATTAAACCTGAAATTATATGACCTGAAATTTGGTCAGTGTGTGCCTTATATACATGCCCACAGTACTTTTAGCGCTACATAGCTTACACCCCTTTGAATTATACAACTTGATACTTTTTGGGCATTTTCAAATATATGTATCTGTTATGTGACAATTACACACATTAGAATATAAAATTTTCTTTTTATTTTCAGAACCAGACGGTAAAACTACCGAACCGTTCCCGACATCAACTGTGACTTTAATTTCACACGTAAGGCCATTCGATTTACAAAAGGAAATGTTTCAGTTTCATAATGTCCTGCTGTAGTAAATCTAACATGAGTCTAGTCCTAAAGGGCATCCAATGCGATTTCAGGGCAACAAAATTGGAAATATTCTAAATAAGGCAATCTTTGTGATATTGACACGAACTGCTTCACATTAGCACATTTAAATCAAATTTCATACTTGTTTAAAACAGCAGACACAAGAGCCCCAAGATGAGTTTTCTTTTATTTTCTGGGTGGCACCCTAAAAATCAGCCCAGGGCCTTTCCTTCAGAATTTTGGGAATTACAATGTATTGCTCTATGACGGTCAAAGTACATTTGGACAGTGTGGTTTCAGCTTACTAAGTAGATAAGTGACTAGAATATTGGCTTTGAAAAATCGGATTTCCAAGCCCTAAAAACTGCACTGAGTGCCTTTAACAAGTTAAAATATTTTCATTCTTATCGGACATCTATAACTATCTGTAAAGCCGGTATGGCCGCCCGTCGTAGTAACACACCAGCTTGGGTGGCACGCGTCGCGGCGGCAGTTAATTATAGTACACCGAACGACTTGTTACACGTAACGTTTGCACATCTAACTCTAGCTATCTAGAGATAATGCCCCGACTGTACATGGTGACAGCGAGTTTCGTTTTACGATAGGTCTAGGAAAAAGGCGTGTTTGAACACTTCAATCCCTGGTTCACTAGGAAAACATAAGGTCTACCATACACATGTGGATACCTATGGGGTCATGAATTGATGTTGCGCAACAGTGATGTACAAGTGGGCTTCTATCACGTGGTGAGCACGGGCGGGGCACGACCTGTCTTAGCCAATCACAGTGTAAACTTGATCCGCCCTAACCAATCGCAGTGCAGATCTACACGTGCTCCTAAATTTGCCGCGTTTTTCAGAATTTCTCGGCCCACTCGAACGAACCACCGTAGCGGCCGGTCGGAAAAAATAGAGAGATACAAGAGAGAGAGAGAGAGAGGTGTAACTAATACGCGTGGATGATTTATGTATTTGTAGGAACCGCCCAAGAGCAGCTCCCTACCTGTCAGCGAGGCCACCACAGCGGACTTACAGTTGGATGATCCTGGCAAGTTACTGGAACAACTCTTTCCGAGTGGAGATTCTCCCTCAGATGACGGAAAGGTAAGACATTGCTAAAGCCCCTGTCACACTTTTTAAATTTTTTTATTCATATAACCAATATTCATAACTTCGCTACAGTACTATCTTACAGATACAGTATATACAAGTATATAATCAATTAAATCAACAATACGTTGTGTCCTTGGAAAAGGCACTTTACACGACTTTCCTCACTCCACCCAGGTGTGAATGGGTACCTAACTTCGGTTGGGAAAAGCCGTATTGAGGTCACCTTGTGGCGCCGAATGGCAGCCGCACAGACCCTTGCGGCAGTCCCACAAAATGTGGAACAAATACGTATCATGTGTATTATTATGTGTATTATTACTATTTGTATCATTGTACCATTGAAAACTCTGCATCAATTCAGCACTATAAGGCTGCGATTGCACGGGTGATGTTTGGCCAATAAACCATTTTATTTAATCTATTACCTTGTCAATATATATCACGATTCTTATACTGGGTGCTATTGCATATTGATAGGGACTATCATGTTGATACAACGAGAGCCACTAGCGAGAGCCCCTTTTTAAAAATCTAACGCTTGTCTCCTCGAGCTGGGTGGAAATGGGGCACTAGAGCAGTTCAGGTTATTTCGTTTACAACCTTTTTGTTTCGTAGGTCGACTCGACAACCTGCACGGAGGCGATGAAGACCCTCGCCAAGCTGTCGCGGACTCCATCCGCCAAGGATTCCACCGACAAGATGGTGACAATCTTCAACACTGTCGTTACCATGTGTGGGACCTTGCCATTGGACGCTCAGGTAAGTCTACTGTTTAAAGGCACCCAATGCAATTTCAATTCAGGGGAGGAAAAACTGGATTGGCAGAGTCAATTCTCTAGTCATTCCTTTACTGTAGTAAGTTGAGTCAATACTATCCCCATGTGTGGGACCTTGCCATTGGACGCTCAGGTAATTATACTGTTTAAAGGCACCCCATGCAGTCTCAGGGGTGGCAAAACTGGATTGTCAGAGTCAATTCTCTGGTCATTCCTTTACTGTAGTAAGTTGAGTCAATACTATCCCCATGTGTGGGACCTTGCCATTGGACGCTCAGGTAATTAAAATGTTTCAAGGCACCCCATGCAATTTCAGGGGTGGCAAAACTAGATTGTCAATTCACTGGCCATTTTTTGTACTGTAGTAAGTTGAGTTAATCCTATCCCATAACTTACTGATATAAAAAATATAAGTATAAAAATATAAAAATAAGATGTAGCCGACGGAATTTGGTTGCCCGTTTTGTAACACTGGTTGGTTCGGACGATCTAGGACAGTAATGCTTAGGTCACATTTGAAACGGCGCCCGTTCGGCATGTCCTCGGCGTAGACGCCGGCCGGCGTCATGACGCCGAGCGTGCGCCGTACTGTCAGGGTCACAATTAAATGTTCCTTTACGGCTCCCTGTCGGGGCCTGCTTGTGCTCCGGCCGGCGGCTCTCATTAATATTCATAAACTTTTGCGGCCGGTTTCTGTCAGGGACCCGTCCGGTGCCCGGTCAGTCGCCCGTCTTGACCCGTGCGGCGTGTGGTAGGGTGCCGACCGGCTCTTACAGTTTGGCCGGGCAGCTGTCAGGTCCCTGGCGGGATCCCGACGGGCTCCTCTCGTGTTTTTGAGCAGGTACATAATTTTATATAAGCGCTGCACTGCCTGCTACCGTTCACTTCAAGTAAAGAGTACACGTCAAGTAAAGAGTAGACTGAAGTTGGCGATGCAGCGTTCAGTGCAACCTGCAAACAACTTACAAGCCCGTCTGAGATTGAGATTGGTGACAACCTACATGTAACGTTAGGTCTTCTGGCATTGGTAGCTGAAGAAGAGAGGCAGGCAGAAAAGTAACCGATGGCCTACTTTCGAAAGTACTTCAACAGTGACGCAGGAAGAACTTCAGCAGTGACGCAGGAAGTGTGCCGTGGCAGCTCCTTGCTATTGAGCAATAAAACCACTGAATATCGTTACTTCTGTTGAAATTTGGACTGAAAATAAATGCCAATAACTTCTGATTCCATTTTATTACGAAGGCATATGATGTAACAAGAGATAATGTCAGACACATTCTATTCCTGTTATGATCTGTTTTATGAAGTTGGCAAGAGAGCCGTGCCGGCTGTTTTCCCTTGGCCTTCGACATTCTGACACACAAATACAAGGTGTAACACACACAAGTACACGATGTAACACACACGTGGTGAACTGTGCGACGTAGTCTGAGGCAGGAGTTTATATATGCTCCCTATAACCCCCTTTTCCTGACCATCTGATGTACTGATCAGCACATGTGACGTCATAATCTTAGGCAGGTGCCTGTTCGGCCGCCCGACGGGTCCCGGGCAGTGAGGTTACGGCGTCGCTTCGGCGTATTTCGCCGAACGGGGCCCGAAGTGTTTTTAACTCTGAGTTAAAATCGATTCGGCGACCGCGCGGGGCCAAAAATAGGCCGGCAGCCGTCGGGAAGCCCGCCGGTCTCCGTCCAGGTCCCGTTCGGTAGTGCCAAAAAACACGCCGAACACGCGCCGAGCGGGCCCCTTTCTTGAATTGTGACCTAAGCATAACCAAATAAAGTGACGCCTCACGTAGCTTTTTTAAAACATATTTCAAACGCTTCAAGTATGAAATGGTGACTAAAATGTATAAAGGCGGTATGTGAATGTGAAAATCAGACAGACTTCCTGATATTTTTTCTTTGTATTGTCACCCTGAAATTGCATTGGATGCCTTTAAGCGGAATACAAGCTCTAGCTGACCGAGTCTTAAAGTATAACATGATAAGTCTGACTGATTCTCTCACACTACTAGACTGGCATGGTGAATTTAACCGCCTCCCTGCTGGCTAACGTCATAACCAATATAGAATGTAGTAAAGCAGCTACTTAAGTCTGTTTATTTGTTTATTAGAATTCACTACAAGTACAAACATACAAGTGGAAGGGAGGACAAAACAGGTGTATTGACACCTTTACAAGTTGTCCTCCCAAACACAACAATATAAATACAGTGCAATACAAATTACAAAGTCGAACAATTGTTGATATGAAATACAAATTCCTACAATAACATACAATAGTCATAAAAATGCAATATAATACACTGCTATAAAATATCATTCATTACATACAATTGTAATGATATCAAAAACTAGTCAGAATACTAATGGGGCCTTAAAGCTGTACATGAGGCACACCCACAAGACGTGGTCCAACAGCAAAGGAAGTCAGAACTGTAGTGAGCATTAAATCTAGTGAATGTAGCTCTTACAAGCGATCGCTTGGATGCTAAAGGTGAAGTCTACCATATAGTATCAATGTTATCCCTGAGTTAGGTAAGGCCATGTTGATTTGATTATATGGATGACATCCTCTGGGAACCCCAAAACTGATGCGAGCGTGCGAATAAAAAAAGTTTTGCAAAAAAAAAAAAGTTGCTTTCATTATGAAATCTACGTGGTCATGAAGGTTGAACAAAGGGCACAAGAGTATCGTTTGGCGAATAATCTACTCTTCAAATTCATTTCTTTACATCTTCGCCTTTTTTGTTTGAATTTGGCATTCTACGACATTGGTATCGTTTTCAAATATTTTTTTTGCAACTTACGGTTTAAATTTGCTCATTTTGCAACTGTTTTGTATGATTTACAGTATGGTTGAAAACTTTTTTTTTTGAAACGGCCGAAAATTCATGCGCGCGCGGATGTCATCCATATAATCAAATGGCCTAAACGTCAGACATCCATGCGTTCAATGTGTCTTGAAAAGTCCTCGATGAACCTCAATGTGATTGTTTGAGTGTACCCACCAAAATTAGAAAAATGAGAAATTACATTATTTATTTTTACTACTGCTGAAGAGAAAAAAAATTGAAATGAAAAAGTCTAACGTCTAATATAACACATTGAGACGTTACATACTATTTGATGTATATTGTTATTATTCTAGGCTGAGGGAGGTTACGTGGTCGGAGCGATGACTGACTCCATCATGCAAAGCGTCCTTGAGGGGGCCAGTATGAAAGAACTGGCTCCAAAAGCATCAGGTATTCTACACTCTTTTGTTAGACACTAATAATATTCTATCCTATATATATAGATAGCATATGCATATGAATTATTAATAGGAAGAAAGCCCGATTATCCACAACAGTAACAAAGTTGTGAATGAAAAAAATACTGAAAAACTCAAGATATAATAATAATTGCAATTTAACATCACAGAAGGTCCGTTACAAAATTAAGAATCAGCTGAGACAAATTCCAAATCTAGTCAGAAAGACGTGTCTGCACTCTTTTTTGGGGGAAGCTTAAGAATCTGCCAATTTTGGAATTTATGTAAAGTAGAAGACAAAAGTGCATTTTCATTTATGTAATATTTACAGGAATATTATTTTAGTCAAGTTAATGTACTTTAGATACTTGAAAAGGAAATTAAGTGAAATGCACATTACTTAGGTCTTTTGATAAACCAACAAACCTTAACTGGTAACAAAGGAATACAATACGTTATTTACGAAAAATGATTAAAGATCAAAGATTAAAAACTGGGTAAAAACTGTTTATGTTGCCTGTAGCTGTTGTCGACACTGTGGCGTCTCTGATGGAGTCGGGAGGATCTGAAACGGTGGTAGATGACGAAGATGACGTCATAGCGCTGAGCCGACTTCCTCCGCGTAAACGGGACGAGTTCCAGAAACAGATGGAGAAGAAACGTCAGCAGAAACAGAAGCAGCAGTGGGCCTTGGTAAGTCTCTTTTTGGCGACGTCTCAGGGAGGAGCCTAATGTTACAGTATTGTGTGCAGTTTGCAAGAATTCTAGGAATTGTACAGGCATTTTGTCCACAGGAATGGAATGTCCACAGGCATGTCTCTGACCCACATCTATGCCCACATTCCTGGAAACCCTTGGGAAGACCTCTCTGCCCCGGATGGCCCTACTTTCTGTGACCCCGGGGCTCGTTCACTATACACTCAGGGGAGGAGTGCAATAACCCTAACAGCAACCACCGTCGCCATGGCAATGTATGTTTTCATTGCCAGTCTTGTTAGCCTTGTTCGTAGCAGGTTTATAGAACTGGAGGTTGGTGGTCTTCTGCTGCTGTTTTCTGATTAGCCCAGTTCGGGGGTAATTCAACCAGGCCGGCTATGTTGTCTATATGCAATCAGAAAATAGCATGAAAGCTCCTAAAGACCCTGAAGACCCCCAAAACCGGTTTTTGGCATGCTATGGGGGCTCCTTTTTTTTACTTAGTAGTCCATGGAAACTTCTTTACCAACAGGAGGGGAAAAGAGTTTTAAACCCCTGGCTGTCACACACAGTCGAATATGGCCTCGATCCCGAACACTATCCGCCCCGGACTCCCTCCAATCAAGTAGGACCAAGGTTGGCTGTTGTTCAGTCATTCGTGAATATTTTCATCAGGTTGTTAAGACACTGAGTAAAGAGACTCTTTTTACACAACCAAGTCTTTTTATTCAGGCGTTGTTTCGGAGTAGGTTGGGGCGTGGTTGGGGCAGTCAAATTCAACTCAAATTCGATTCAATTCGGAGTAGGTTGGGGCGTGGTTGGGGCAGTCAAATTCAACTCTAATTCGATTCAATTCGTATTGAAAGGTAGACGTGGCCTAAATCTGGTCAGACTGTTTTCGACCAGATTGTGTATGTGTGTGTATATGCGTGTACATGTATGTGTGTGTATATGCGTGTGTGTGTGTGTGTGTGTGTGCGTGTGCGTGTGCGCGCGCGCGCGTGTGTGTGTGTTTGGGTGTCTGTGTCTGTAACTCTGTATGTATGTGTGTGTTTCCCCAGGTGTTGACATGGTTGGGATCAGTTTGCCCAATCGGAGAAAGTTATTAATTAATCAAGTCTACATCTTGTCATCACGACCCCCTTTACAGTTGTTGCCATTGCGCATTATAGAAGGAGATTGCATAAACCTTTTGTTTTTGAGAGATCCCCCCCCCAAATGTGGTGACTTGCAGACACCATGGTGAATAAGAAGAGAAGCGAAAAAAAAAACATGTCTACATTTTCGAATGTTTATTCGAGGTCTAAGATCCCCGAATTCGTGTTTCCAACAGCAACGAGAAGTGACCCAACGTCTACAGAAGGACCTGGACAACATGGCCGATGCTCTGCTGGGCAGCGTAGACAGCGGTGAACGAGTCGAGCTCGGCTCGAAGGCTGTTCAGATGGTCCTGGACAAGTCGTCGGGAGGACGGCTGGGAGGGGCGGCTGTCGCTGCGCACGCCGGGAGGGTGACATTCCCACACGCGCATGCGCTGTACAACGGAGGAATTATTGGTGATGTTGAGATGAAGGTGGTGATTTCTTCTGCATTATTTCATGATATCACAGCTTTGAGATGTCATTATTCCGTTTTAAAGGACAACTGCATTAATTTCAGTTTTGGTGCCTTTTTAGCAAAAATCCTATTTGCAAAAGGTGATCCATTGGTTTCTACCAGTTCCGCACACATAGGGGTGATATTTGACATAAATCCTTGTTCACGTTTAATGACTGCCTTTTCCACTAGGAGAATGCGGTGACGTGGTGTGGTGTGTCCACTTAATCTAATCAACTGTCAATGAATTCAATACTCTGTGTACTCTTTATGTACTAATGTTAATATTAGTACAGTTTCAATTCACATTAAAACTAGGTGAATTCATCTCCATTTCCTTTAAAAAGAGAGAATAAATCTTCAAGACCTAGATTAGGTAAAGATTTCGTAGTTCCTTGTACTTGACGTTATTCTTTCCTCCTTCTGTTCTATGTATTATGTCACTAAGTATGATATACATGTAACATCATACTCTGCTGATCTGATGTATACATTTAGCCCCATGGGCATGGACATGCAATAAAGATTCAATTATTATATACCAACATATCCTTTGTATTTTTTAATCCAGGTTGTGGGATACGAGCGGAACCCGTACGTGTGGGACGACTCAGCTCAGGACATCAAGTCGTCTGTAGTGGACATTGAGCTGAAACGGCCGGGCGGGGACACACTCGAAGTCAAGGTGATGTCTTTTTTTTTCAATATTTCATGACCAAACATGGCGACGGCACACTCAAGTTATATCAACTTACTTTATGTCGCCACCAACACAGTACAAATACAGGACAATACTCATTTTCACTTGAGTTAAGATAGGAAAGTCGTGTAAAGTGCCTTTCCCAACGGCACAAGGTTGGTGGCATGTCAGAACTCAAACCCGGGACCTATTGGTTCCGAGTCGAGTACTCTGCCGCTACGCCACACGACTCCACGACGTTTTAACTTTGATATCTTGTTCAAAGTTCAAACTTTAGATCCAACAAAAAAAGTTCTCTCACCTAGAGCATTTTAGACCAGTCACTCTGGTCTTCTTCTGAATCAGTAGACTGACCCAATGAGTCTTGTCACGTGACTTTTTTGAAGTGTGACCTCAACACTGGGTCAAAGGTATCTGGTAGACGATGTCAGCCCCCGTAGCGGTTGGTAAGGCGATATCTTGTTTTCTTTCAGCGTGACGTATAAGTTAATTTTTTGGGGACCGGAAATTGATACAACGCCATGTATTTATTATAAATAAACTTTACAGTGCACACAACAGGAAACAGGGCAATCGGGGATGGCAGACTTAAACGCTTGCCTATGATGTTACGCACACACCTAATGTTACACAAACACAAACACCACACGCAAACATGTATACATACATACATACATACATGCAGACACATGTGCACACACCACACACTCACTCACACACACCACACACACACGCACACACACACACACACACACACACACACACACACACACACACACACATAACGTTACATAGTACAGACAGCAAGAACAATAATTCGCCCCCTTTGGATCAGGCAATAAGAACACCCTGGACATATCGTTTCTGAATTGCAGGACCTGCCTGAAGAGACCACTGTGGTGTTGAAGAACGCCCCTGACATGTTCCCCGCCCCCCCGCCTGGTGAAGTACTCCCCGTTCCCTAACGACACCATGGTGTTCCGGAGCTTCAGCGCCAGGAGGAACCAGACGTACGGCGTGACTGTCAGCCTGGTGTCGCTCTATCCTGCCGCCATCATGTACGGCAAGCTGGGAGATTTTCCTAACGAGACAGACAATGACTTCCAGTAAGTAAGACGTCATCTGTCGTGTAACGTTAAAGTTATGTTATGAATTTGTTCTCATACATTATCTTCCATAATTAGACTATGACCTAAAAGTTAATGTTAAAATCGTAACGTTATACCATTTATGATATTGCAATTGTCATTTTGAACACAAATGATAACGAGGAATGGATACGCCATGTCATTTCACCCTAGAACGCGTTCGAAAGAGTAAGGTGTGTGTAGCGTTCCAATGCGTGCAAGTCGGTCTGAATGGTGTTGGGAGTGAAATATACGTCATAACGTAACTATGTTGTGTGGGTCTAAGCAAAGTCTGTTTGAGCTGAAAGATATGCCTATTATACACACAGGAGAGATCTAAGCATGGATGACTTCATCACAGAGACCGTGCCTCCTCACGACGATGTCCAGACCGCCTTCACCGTCCTGCAGCCGGACACAGCCGTGCAGAACGGCACAGAGGAGTACACCTTAGGACTGCAGATGGACGGTAAGGCTGAGGTCACATTTTCCAAACCGGGGCCCGGCCGGGAAGTCTGAAGAAATGAAAAGTATGATATGAAAGATAACAAAGCACAAAAAGTTGATGGTGACGGCATTAATATGAGTTGAAAAACTTGAGTGTGCCGTCACTACGTCTTGTGATTACATGTTGGAATATAAAAAAAAAAGTTGATAAAATTAATAATGGGAACGATTTGCGTACATTATTGATATAGAATGTTGGTTTTTCGTTAATCGAAACAGCTCCGCCGGGCCCCGGTTTGGAAATGTGACCTCAGCATAAGGAAAGGTCTCTTCGCACATTCCGAATCAGTAGGAGTCACGCTGAAGCAGGAAGAATTGACAAAATGGTTCTACCCGTTCAAATTAGGGGTGGAACCGAGCAAGAATGTCACCAGAATAAGATTTTTCGGATGTTCTTGACTATTCGTAGTGCAATCCAAAAATTCCGAGTGTAATTAAATTAGAATTTATATAACGATAGTTGGTTTGTTTTGTATCTGTTAACTGTATCCGTTCATCTAGTTTTGTTGTGACCTGTACTTAGCCAAGTGTGATAAAAATGTGCAATACAGGTCTTCATTCATTCATTACAGAATTAGGGTCCATTTCAGCTTCCTTGAATGCGGCAGAATGTTCCTGACAGAAGCTGTTGAAATGTTGTAGGAATATTCAGAATACATGTCCTACGGCTGCAGTTAGAATACACTCTGAATGTCGTTCCATATTTCTCCCGCTTCAAATTTATTTCGAAAGTTTTGAGCATTCATAGACACACTTCAGTTATTTAGAATAAATGCAGTGAGGATGTCTAGAATGCACTTCGAATAGCCAGCAAGCAGTTTGTGTGATCCATGTCAAGATTCCTAGATTAACAGAGGGGGATGAGAACTGTCCCATTTTGTCATTATTTTTCTTTTTTTTTTACCTTTACAGGATGTCAACCGTCAGGATGCCTGTACTATGTCCATATCGTGCGGCTGAACTGTCTGTTCTGGGATGCCGGGCTGGACAAGGAGCAGGGATCATGGAGAGGAGACGGCTGCCGGGTAAGGCAAATGACAGTGTGAAAAGTATCTTTATTAGAATTTATGTTATGTTTTGGAGCTGTAACACTTCGACAAGTTAGAGAGATAACCGTTCACTGCAAGGGAACTTGGTCAATCAAAAAATAAGGAAAATGTAAGTAGACGTCAACAGTGAAAATTATTTCGTATATTGAACCATAAACTATTGTTGTGATTACGTGTATTTGTTAGTTTATTCATCTTTGTTTATTTCATTTTTGTGTTTGATGGTGGCGTTGATATAAGATCGATGTTACTTGAAAGTTTCGTCATCTCGACTGTATTTCTTTACGTCTGCTTTAATAAAGACTGTAAAATTTGAACACTGCGTACAATATATACAAAGTTTGTTTAAATTTTCTGTATAAAGATGGACCGACATTATACGAAATTCATATATAATGGTTATACATTTATTACATGTACAGCTTCACTTACAGTTGCATGAAGATTTATGATGCCATCAAATTGAACCATTGCTGTTGCTGAAAAAGTTACAACTTTTCTTATCACCAAAACTTTTTCAGGTGAGCCCGGCATCCACCCTGACCCACACAGTGTGCCTGTGTAACCACCTGTAGGTCTGTAGATAAAGCCCCTGTCACACATCCAAAGCAAATTGAAGATTAACCCTATCTAGACCGGGCTTTTTTGAGCAAGATTTGACCGGGGGGGCTCTTTCGGCCCCCCCCTCAGAACTCGCTAACGGTATGTCGTATGGCTACCGAATTTTCAGAGGATGGTGTACTAGTTAAAATTTATCATATCTACAATTTTGATGTCATTATGACGTAATATGACGTCATTATGACGTCATTAATGGGATTTTATTGGCCAAAACTGTCTAGATAGGCTATTCCCTGAAAACTAAATGGTATTCAACATAACTTTACCAAAAGTGTTTATGACAGAATATTAGAGTGTACTAAGTATTATGTTGCCCATAGCAACACCGGTGACGTCATAAAATGACGTCATACATATTTAAGATATCCGCCATCTTGGATCATCAATGTTGAATTTTCAAAAATAGTTTTTTTTCGTGATAAAGCCTAAAATACATTGTAAACATACCAAAGACCTTCATTTAAACCTTTTTGGAAAAAGAAATGGAAGTATTGATGAAATTTTAAGGAAAATAACTTGTATATACCTGTTCTAATGATATGGTCCGCCATCTTGGATTTTGGCCAATGACGTCATCAAATTAGCATAAATTATGCATATTTAATGATAAAATTTACATAAATTCATATGGGATGTTATTAATATTAGAAACCATGAGTAACTTGACATAAAACCCATAAAATTCTATTCTTGAAACAAAAATTACTAAATTTTAGCAAAAAAATGCCTGTCAGAAACCCGTTGCCATGGCAACACAAAAATTTTTATCTTATTCCAATGATAGAAAATTGTTGCCAACAATATTTTAGGAAAAGTCACCAAGTTTGGTCATTCTAATCCTAGCCATTCAGACGCTATGTGACATCAAAGTTGGCGCGGGCACTTTTAGCCCCCCCCGGTCTAGATAGGGTTAATTTCACTTTATCATTAAATGCTCTAGATATGATGTTTACGTAGTGAGCTATTCTCATTTATCGAATCTAGTACAATAGATTTTAACAGACTCGATGCTATGGACAGATTTATATGTTTTTATGTATATTCAAATCCAACAACGTTTACAGTGCAAAGATAGGTAAATACATAAAAGACTGTTTTGTTGTTAGAACAAATGCCGAAACTCATGATTAGCTCTACTTGATTGTATACTGTATTAGATCTGTGTTGATGTTTAGTAGTAAGGATGTTGGTTTTCATTCTATCCTTTTTTGTACTGTGTTAAATAGTCGTTGCCTTACATTGTACAATTGTCGTGCAATAAAGCTCTACTTCAAATCCGAATATGGCCTCCCGAACGCTAGTCAAAGTCCACCAAATCATGGTTTGCAGTAAGTTGGGAGCAAGGTAGGCTGGTGTTTGGCAGAGCTCGAGCCATCCGTGAATGTTTCAAAATGTTTAAAATATTCGGATGTGGACGGGGGGATTGGCCATATGGTTGCTGGTGTTCGAGAGTAGGTCGGGGTGTGGCCTAACGGTCTGACTGTAGCCTCTACCAGGCTTGGGGAGGCGGCTGGAAAGAGTAGAAATCGGCAAAATAGAGAGATAACATGCCGGGGGAGTTCTTTCGTTGAGAGAACAGTTCGCCGCACCCCACTCCCGATAGGCTTGGGGTGCGGCAAACT